CCATGCCTAGTGCCTACTGTACAAGCCTGTGGGGGCGGTGTTATGATCTGGGGTTGCCGCAGTTGGTCAGGTCTAGGTTCAGCAACAGTATGAGCTCAAAGAATGAGGTCAACTGACTACCTGAATATACTGAATGACCAGGTTATTCCATCAATGGACTTTTTCTTCCCTGATGGGAATAGTCCAGACATATTCCAAGATGACAATGCCAGGATTCATCGGGCTCAAATTGTGAAAGACTGATTCAGGGAGCATGACACATCATTTTCACACATGGATTGGCACCACAGAGTCCAGACCTCAATCCCATTGATAATCTTTGGGATGTGCTAGAGAGGGCTTTGCGCAGCGGTCAGACTCTACCATCATCAATGCAAGATCTTGGTGAAAAATGAATGCAACACTGGATGGAAATAAATCTTTTGACATTGTAGAAGCTTATCGAAACAATGCCACAGCGAATGCGTGCCGTAATCAAAGCTAAAGGCGGTCTAACAAAGTATTAGAGTGAGTGACCTTTTTTTTTGGTGGCGACTTTGTTTTGGCCAGGCAGTGTATAATTTACAACTAAAAGATTGAAGAGAATCTTTCTTGACATTGACAATGCCCCCGCCTCCCGCCTAAGCTCTTCCTGCTGTCTTGATGTTTTACCCACAAGTTTTATTAAGAAGGTTTGACCTGTTTTAGAGTCGGATTTGTTTCAAATCATAAACTCATCCCTCATGTCAGGTGTTTTCCCCAGAGTCTTAAAAACAGCAATAATCAAACCATTGATGAAAAACAGAAGCTGGAATAAATGAATCCTGCAGAACTACAGGCCCATCTCAAAGCTCCCCTTCATCAGTAAGATCATTGAAAAATTTGTCTCAACAGTTAAATGCCTTCTTATCAATGACCAGCTGCTTTGATATCTGCCAGTCAGGTTTCCATAGCAACCACAATGCAGAGACTGCCTGATTAAGCTGTTCAATGATATCCGAATAAACTCAGACCCTGGAAAAACCACAGTGCAGCGTTTGATTTGATTTTATTAGAGCGTCTGGAAACCTGGGTCTACCTTTCTGGTTCAGCACTGGACTGGGTTAAATCCTACCTGAAGGACAGAGGCTCCTATGTGTCAGTAGGGAACTTTAAATCAGATAATATGAGGAAATTGAGGAACACATGTTCCTCAAAGCTCCATTCTGGGGCCTCTCCTATTCAACACCTACATGCTCCCCTTGGCTCAGATTATAGCAAAAAAACAGATTAGTTACCATTACTATGCACACAACTTTACATCCCAATGTCACTAGGTGACTATAAACCCATCAGAGCATTGTGTAGATGCTAGAACAGATCAATCTGTGGATGCCTCATCATTTTCTACAACTAAATAAAAACCAAACTGAGGTTATAATCCTTGGACCAAAGGAGCAGAGAGTTGGCTCACAGTTTCATCTACTGCAGCCAGAAATCACTGATTATGGCTGAAATCTTGGTGCCCTGATGGAATCAGACCTGAATCTTCAGAGACTCATAAATGCAGTTACTAAGTCAGCCTTTTATCACCTGAAGAACATCTCCTGGATTAAAGGACTAATGTCCAAGCAGGATCTAGAAAAACGCATTCATCCAATTATCTTTAACAGAATTGATCACTGCAGCAGTGTCTTCATAGGTTTCCCTTAAAAGTCCATCAGACAGCTGCAGCTGATCCAAAACGCTGCTGCCTGCGTTCTCACTAGCCTTAAGAAAGTAGAGCACATCAGCCCAGTTCTGAAGTCCTTTCACTGGCTTCCTGTAGCTCAGAGAATAGATTATAAAATCCTTCTGTTAGTCTGGAAATCACTCAATAGATCAGCACCTCAATCCATAACAGATCTTGGCTCAACTTCTCAGACCACTCTGGGAGGTTTTCTAGTTCCAGCCTCCTCTGTCCACCCAGAACTAGAACCAAACATGGTGAAGCAGCATCTATGCCTCACTGATCTGGAACAAACTCCCAGAAGACTGGAAATGAGCTGAAAGTTCTTAGAAGTCAAAGTTAAAACCCATTAGTTTAGAGCCTTCGACTGATGGAGTTAAACTGTTAACTGGTTTATTATTAGTTTAAGGATGTGATTCAACTGTTTCATTTGTTTTACTACCTTCTGTTATTCTGCTTCATTTTCCCCTCCATTTTATTCTTAGATTCTTATCAAACACTTATGATTGTCTTTGTACTGAATTGTGAATTTGTACAAAAAAATCTTGCCTTTTTCAGTTGATGAATGTCTTTTACTGATGTTCTTTGTAATCCACATGAATTAGGAGATTTGATGATTAACAGGTTTAACAGACAGTGGACATCTAGAATATACATGCTGTCTCTGTTTCCCTTTAGATTATAAAACCTCTTTTCTTGCCTTTTAAAGGTTGTTTTAACAGAAACTGGGCGTTCAACAAACATACCTGAAAGACAATCCTGGACTTCTCCAGGAGATATTTGGACAGTGAGGTTCCTACAACAGCTCCACTGTCAGCAGTAAGGCCCGATGAAAGAAAAGCTGCAATCAGTTTCACCGTCCATGGAAAGAGATCATGGAGAGGTCTTCCTGAACCAACCAATCACTGCTGGACTTACTTTAGTATGTGGATGTGAAGGTACTTGCCAAAGCGACTTGAGTTGTTGTTCAGAATAGTCTTGGCATTCCCAAAACTTTCAAGGATGGGAAAGACTTCCATAGGCTAATAAAAAAAAGAAACACAATCTGAATAAAATCTAATGAATATTTCATTTGTATTTTTTTTTTTCACTTTTTTATTACCTGTCTTAGACTCTCGTTTCTGTTTCGATACATCAAGCTGAGGTAATGAACTATTTGCTTGGTAGCTTCAGTCTTCCCAGAACCACTTTGTCCGCTACATCACAAAATATTAAAAACATAAAGGACACAGTTTCCATAAATTAATAGGAAACTTTTAAAATCTCAAACAAATTAAGTATGGACCCCTCGGCATCGAGGGGTCCATGCTAGTATCGGGCGTTCTGGCATTGGAGCATCCGAGCATAGCTCAGTAAATTTTACTTTTGGCGCTGGACGCCAGAGCATCAACCAATCAGAGAAGCTTTTTGGGCGAGACAAACACTACCTGCAAGCTGTCATCGCTTCTGTACACATTCTGCATATGAAAAATATGGAATTAAACTCCAAAGGTTATAAAAAATGCAGGAAGAATGGATTGTTATGTAGCAGGAACAGAGAGCAGCTTTGATCATTATTGCTGCACTAAAACACTTTTTATAAATTATAGCGAAACAGTTTATAAATACCCAAACTAACTAGAAATATTAAAACCTGCTGATGAAAAATTTTGGATTGTATATTCTGGTTCTTGCAGTTTTTACCACAAATTTTAAAAACTCTTTCTATTCACTTCCAGACGCTACGAACGGGGCAGGAGGAAATCCCTTTATCCATTTAGTTTTGAAGAAAAATACGCTTTAAACTACCTCATGGGTGTGTATACCTTCAGTCATGTACAAAAAAACTTTTTAATTACTTACTTTTTGGTGTTTTTTGAAGCATATGGAGACCTGACCTTAAATAATTTTTTCGTAAAAAACTAAAGGGATAAGCGGGACTAGCATACACGTATGCAAATCTGGCGTCTTGCACATGCGTATTGACTGTGGGTATGCTGATCTGACAGAACACAGGCGGTATACTGGAGGTCTGGAGCTCCCAACAAGAACTGCATATTTTTGTGCAATCATACTGATGAACTGATGAACAGAGGATGTCTGGAGTTGGACTTTCTCACTTAAAAATGTGTTAAAACAATTTTTCCAACTCATAAAGTCAATAAAGCCAAGCTGATATCTAGCTTGAAGCTACAGAACAGAGCAGATAAACAACAAGAGCATCAAAGCGTCAAAGCGTCTTGACCACAGTTTGTTCCAGCATCCAGATATCTGCATTTGCACATTTCTGAAAGCAGTATAACGATAGAGCAAGAAATAAATTGGAAGGAGTTCCAGGACCGAATCATAGATAGATGGAAGCTGAATCTGCCATCTTCTCCTTCAACCCGTTCCAAAAAGGTTCAACAAGCCCCGCCATCAGGATTCAAAAGGCCAAACACAAAACCCGTTCAAAACCAAAGACTCCACCAACCTAGGAGGACGACAGGTGGGTTTTTGACTTGCATTTGTGTTGGGATGTGTTCAGGAGGAAGTGCCTCCATGTTGCCTAGAACATCAGCGCTCCAACTACAGATTGCTCTGGTGTTAGTCGATGGAAGGACTCCAGGTTGGTTTCAAAAAGCTTTCAGACAAACTGAGCGTATGTCCCATTGCCTCCGATTGAAGCCTGTTTAGAGGTTGGCACGACCAGCATCACCGAGACTTTACAGTCTTTCAGGTTATGTTGTGTTGTTGCGTTCATATTATGTTTTGTTTAGAAAAAAGGATCTGATAAATCTATGAAAATGCATAATTCTCTACATCCCTAAATATTTTCCTGAGCATTAATTAATAAAAAGCAGGTCTTAGAAGCTATCACACTTCTCCTCTCTATGGGTGTTATGTGCTTCGGGCACATTATTATTTCTTTTGTTTATTTCTTTCCCTTGTTGTTTTTTTTTTACTTTAGTTGAAGGACCCTTTGTAAAAAATTTGGAGTTTGGATTATTTCTTTTGACATTTAATTACGTTAATTTGGGGCATTGTGGCCCGCCTATAAATAGGCCGGCATTCAGAATGTACGAGGCCGCCCCACCCCGCCCTGCTGAGACGCCGCATTTCCTCTCGCTCCTGGGTTCGACCAGTGGTTGCGGGCTGAAACTGAGATTCAAGGCTGCCATGTGGTAATTTTTGTTATTTATTTATTTTTTTGCCGATTTTGGCCTGGTGGGACCGGTGGTCCTGTTTTTGATCTTTTCTTTAATGTAGGTTTTTTTTTTCCCTTTTCTTGTTTTGCTTAGTCGGGCTTCAGCAGACGCTTTGACGGCCCTGTATAGGGTTGGCCCCTTTGCTGTGCCGTTTTGTTCTTTTTGTTAGTACTTTTCGGAGGGGTTTTTTTTTTTTCTTTCTTCAGTTCTTTTTTTTTATGGGGCACGGGATTTGAGGGCCAACTGAACTATCTTTTTTCCCTCTTAGGAAAGATCAGAAAAAGTGAAGAAGTTGAAAATAAAAACTGATTGAACCCTCATCTTCTTTTGTCTCGTGTCCTTAAATATGTTGTGTCTTGTGCGGACGTAACAATGGGCCGCTGTCACACCTTGCCGATTTATCCAGAGTATGCCTGACGTCCCAGAATCGCTGGCATACACTGAACTTTCTATGTATTTTTTTCAATTTTGGACGTATATATAGTGTTCATAACGAGTCCAGAACTTCTGTCCAACGACAGCCGAATTTCTGTATAACGCACGGCAGCGTAATGCCCATGAAGTGATGCACAATCCAGTGCAAGGAAATGATTCTTATTTCAACTGTTGCGTATATTAGCTGCGACATATGAATCAAGATGCTATGATCGAAAAAATTTGATTGACAGATGAGTGTTGATATATGATTGGCCGAATTTAGGTGTTCAGGCTGATGTAGAACTAAATGTCCTGGATAAGATAACAAAAAAAAAAACTGATTTCAAAACTGGATTTTTTTTAAATATAAATTTTGTAACTTAAATTGTCAAGGTATGAAAGGGGATTAAGTTGAACTTACAAAATAAAAATATAATTGATCATAAAAGTAAGCAAAATGTGTGTAAATGTTGTTTATGATAGTACCTTACAATGATGCACTGCTCCTGCGCAGAGGACTGGGACAGTCGGAAGGCTGAGTCAGCTATGGCGTACACATGGCTAAGGCACAGAAACATAATGTCTGAATCAGCACTAACAAAAGAAAACAAGTAAATATGTTATTTTAAAAAAACAGAGATATTAAATGTGCTAAAAAACAAATTAGAGAGACTTACGGTGGGTTTTTATGCAGCTCCTGCCCCTCATATTTATGCCTCATTTCCTCAGAGAAGATGTCAAGAGACTTGAATGGGTTGATGGACAGTAGGATGTTTCCAATGTAGGTCTGGGATAAAATAGGAAGTTTGCTTATTAACACCAACCTCACACAGATATTATCGGCTTTACTTGGTAAATGTTACCTCTCCTAGAATATAAAAGCATGAAGAAGATCCATTTCTTTTTTCATTTTATGTTTTAAATAGGAATGAAACAATTAATCTGACTAATCGTGATTAATTGATTATTGAAAAGTCATCAACTAATTTAGTAATTGAATAATCATTAACATTACATTACATTAATAGAGACTGTAAAACATGTCTTTAGCTGACAGAGCAACCCACTTAGAGCAGCAATTATATCAAATTTGTAAGGAAAATATATAAACAGTTTGCATTTAAGATAAAAACAAAGAATTTTGTCTGTTAATCTGCTCTATCAAGAACTCCTCAGGTGGTGAGTTTCACCTCGTTTAATTTAATATAAAATCTTCTTTAAGGAACCTTTGGCTATCCGATTATTAATCGTTTTATGGGAAAAATAATCAACAGATTAATCGATTTGCAAGATAATCGTTAGTTGCAGCCCTAGTTTTAAATAACTACTCATTCTGTATGTCTGTTCACTTTCTTTGTCAGTTTCTATGTTGAAAGCTAAAACGACCTGTGATGACCTTTGTTTTCCTCCTACTTGGAAATTCTCTGACAGCAGCTATGCTGCTTTGGGAGAAACATCCTGAGAGAGTGCAGCTTAGAAACAGCTTAAAAAGATCACAGCCATTAATTTGTTCCACCAACTTTGGTGTGGGTATGCTGGTCAGACATATTGACACTACTTTTATTAAACAGCATCATTCTAACAGCATTATTTAAATGTGCCTTTCAGGGCAAAGGTGACGGCTACCAGTTTATCTCCTCCCGGCCAGTAAGCGGCGCACTCGCACAAGTTGTGCCAGTTGCCAGTCCTGCTGATGCAAACCAAACCAAATATTTAACCTTGTTGGAAACTTGCTACTTTAGATCATCAACAAGGCTCAAAAACTTGACGGACATTCAAACCTGAGCTCCGTCTCATGTGAACCAAACTTACTGTTCCTATTGGTGCAGAATCCTTTAATAAAGACATTGGCACCGTAAACTAAAAGTAAATATTTACATTATTTTGGATGTGCCAGATTTTCTTAAACATTTTTTCTCTTTGGTAAAAGGTATACTTTTATTCTGCACCACTCTCGATGTTTTGTGAATCTATAATTTCTGCAAAAGTAATAGTTTTGATTTATCAAAATTAATTGTTTTGATAAAAAGTTGTAGATATTAACATCTTCCAACAAATTTTAAGCATCCAAAAAGCAAAAAGAATTTGAATTAGAAGCTAGTTTCGATCACTAAAAGCAAAATCTGATGTTTCAAATGACTTTTAATTTGTTATTTTCAATCATTAAGATAATACTGAAACGTACATAAATACACCCACGGTCAAACCTCTTCTTCAGATTCAATAGGACCGAGCTCTCAGACACGTCTCTAAAAACATGAAATATAAAAGTTTCGTTTAGAGTGCCATGTTGATATAAAGCAAGTTTGTTCTGATGTATGAACTTACTCCAGGCGTGAAAGATCCTCCACCTCATCCAGCTCTACCGGCCCTTCATTCCCAGGCATTACAACCTAAAGTTGACAAAGTTATAGTTTATATCATTACCTGATACACCAATCTACAGCATTCCTATTCCTTCTAATAAATCAATCAATCAATGCATCCATATATCTATAATGTAATTTTTACTTCGACTGTAGAGACCAAGAATGTCATTGCTATCTCTACGATTCAGGACATTCACTCACACACCCATCGACTTACAGTAGCAGCCATTAAAACGCTGACTCCGCCCTTTAACTCAATTACAGGGTCTGACCAGGAGATGGTGCTTCTCTTTAGATCTTAATGTCCACAAATCATGACAGAATATTTTAGTACAAAGATTGATTTTTAAAAAGGAAATATAGGGTACCATCCAAGGGCCAGCCAGGGTCCAGCCATGGACCAGCCAAGGGCCAGCCATGGTCCAGCCATGGACCAGCCAAGGACCAGCCAGGGTCCAGCCAAGGGCCAGCCATGGACCAGCCAAGGACCAGCCAGGGTCCAGCCATGGGCCAGCCATGGACCAGCCAAGGACCAGCCAGGGTCCAGCCATGAACCAGCCAAGGACCAGCCAAGGGCCAGCCAGGGTCCAGCCATGGACCAGCCAAGGGCCAGCCATAGTCCAGCCATGGACCAGCCAAGGACCAGCCAGGGTCCAGCCAAGGGCCAGCCATGGACCAGCCAAGGACCAGCTAAGGGCCAGCCAAGAACCAGCCAATGGCCAGCCATGGACCAGCCAAGGGCCAGTCAGGGTCCAGCCAAGGGCCAGCCATGGACCAGCCAAGGGCCAGCTAAGGGCCAGCCAAGAAGCAGCCAAGGGCCAGCCACGGACCAGCCAAGGACCAGCCAAGGGCCAGCTAAGGGCCAGCCAAAAACCAGCCAAGGAAAGTGGGGACATTTTGAATGGCTACTAATGTAGCACTAACAGTGTTAAGTTGATGAGCCAAACTTTTCACACTTAGTAGGGCTAACTAGCTTAGCCACAGTAGGCTAATTCTTCATTTAACGAAGAACAATCTGTCCTGAAACCACAGTCCGTCCTGCACATGCGCGAACAGAATAATAAGATCTTGATCGCTGAAAAACTGCGTACTAACAGTACTAAAAAGAAACACTTATTTATATACTTAAAACATCAAAGAATGTTAAACTACATTGTATAGAAAATCTTTAACACTTTTCTGGAAGAAATTGATACGTTTAACATTCTCTCCATTATATTGCGTGATGTCATAATCAGACATGCTCAGAGTAGTCACAGTAACGTTCGAAAAGCTATTTAAGTGTATCGCTTTTTATTGTTTTTAGAATATGCAATATTTACACAAATACAAATATATTCAAAAGGAACCCCCTGCCAGAAAAAGACAAAAGAATTAAAAAGTAAGAAAAATTGAGTATTGCCAACACCGGAAGTTATTCTGTTCGCGCATGCGCAGGATGGATCGTGCTTTCAGAGCGCATCGATATTGACAACCCTCTCTGCACATCTACAGTCATACCTAAGTTGTTATTGTAAATATACACAGAAAGTCTTTATTTACCAACAAACTGAGCAAAAACATAGTGTAAAACACAAAAGTAAGAAATAAGATGGCAGCGGGGTGTGGTAATCTTCCAGAAAAACGTTGCATGCAAATAGAGTGACCTACTGGATTTAGATATAAGAAATGTCAAATAACATGCACCTTTAAAGGTATCAGAAAGAAATCATAGGGAAATTTATAAGGGGTCAGTGATTTGGGAATGGCAATGATAGACATTAAGCCCTGGACTACACAAACACTGGAGAGGTTCAAATTGATTTGCTCTGTTCTTATCAACATATCAACATTTCATTTTTTATCTTCAGTGGGAATATGATTATGTTGAAAATGTGTGATTCTATATTCTCATGTAAAACAGCTGTAAAAGGTAATAGAATAGGTGATGAAACCTAAGAAAACTCTTTAAAATTGTTTTTTTTTTTCTTTAAATATTTTGTAACATTGTCTTTTAGTTTCCTGACCAGAATCTGGCACTATCTCAGGGGGCATGACATTTAAAAGTTTGCGAACCCCTGTTCTAGCACATTCTGTACTCCAGTGACATGCACAGACTTTATATAGGATGGGGGCGGAAAAAAACAGGGCACATGTAGTGCATGTTTGTCACTATAATGGGCACATTAGCATTCGTCCTGGCTCCTGAGAGGGCACTTTAACACATGCTTTGGAACTTGGGAGGCACTTAAGCACATCTTTTGGCTCCCAAGGGGGTACTTTAGCAAGCATTTTGGTTTCCAAAGGAGGGAACAGTTAGTGCACCCTTTGACTACCAAGGGGGGTCTTTGGGAAGCGTTTTGGCTCCTGTGAGGGCACTTTAGGGTAGTATTGGCATAGTGAGTTAGAGCAGTGCGCTTGTGCTCTGAAAAGGTTGCAAGTACCCGGTTCGATCCACACAGCCTCTACTCTGTCTCTCTGAGCAGGACTCTTAACCCCACACTGCTCCTCGGGGTTAAATACAGTGCTAACTTTACAAACAGGAGGCAAAGCTGGGGGGAATGAGCTGCCTGTGGCATGAAGGCAACACCCTTCATGCCACGGAGTGTCGGTCTAGTTAGGGCATTGCACTTGGAATCCTGAGGTTCTGAGTTTGAGCCCAGAGGCTGCCACACTAACCACCGGGAACCGCACAATGGCAGCCCACTGCTCCCTAAGAGGGTGGGTTAAATGCAGAGAGTTAATTTTGTTGCTCTGTACTTGTGACAGTGAAATGGCAAGAAAATGCTGGAAAAACTTCAGCAAGCATTTTTTTCTCCCAAGAGGGAACTTCAGTGCTGTCAAGGGGGAACTTCAGCATGCACTTTGGCTCCTAACCTTTGCATATGTTTTGGTTCCCAAGGGGGCACTTACGCTTTTGTTCCCCCAACAACTGAGCCATGAGTAGGGGCAACTGCCCCCAACCGCTGTACATACGACATTACACAACACCCCTTCTTCAAACAATAAGTTATATAGAAAGGATGCAAAGACATGCAAACAATACTTGTGTGCTATTTAGCCGAGTCTCAAGCATCTTTTGAGTTGGATCCTCTGATTCCCAGGGTCCCCTGGTACTGTGAGTGATGGCGTGGCTGTCATCGTAGACCGTCCATCTTGTTAGCTTTTCTACCGTCTGATGGGGAAGCAAATTCTCTGCCCGAAGCCAGGTCTGCAGCTCCAAAAGAATTTATTAAGGCTATATGTTTTTGTAGCATCAAGTAATCAGAACAAATAATTACATATTTAAATAAACAGATACATACCTGAGGGTCTCCAGTCATCTGGTAGTTTCCCGTCCAATGAAACTCTGGTTGAGTGATGGTAGTCAAACCATTGCCACCCATCAACAGGGCTACTTCCCTGTCTGCTTCTTCTTCATACAATCCAGGAACGCCTGATACTGCTAAGCTTGTGTCTTCATTTGCAAAGCTTTGAGATATTTGTGTCTGTTCTGCTACCTCTGCTTCCACACGTACACCCTTTGGTCTTCCTAGCCCGGTGCCTAGCAATCCCACCGGCATTTTGATCTGGGAGGGTTTTAGGTTTTCTCTTGCAGCTTGCAGCACACTGACTCCATCTTGGTGTTTTGATCTGGTTCCACTGGTACCTCTGTTTTTTGTGGAGTCGTCATGGAATGTCCTTGCACTCTGGTCTACATCTTCATCTGATCGTAACTTTTCCAGCAATGGGTTTCTTCCCGACTTCAGGAGACTCAGGTCTGGTTTGGAAGGAAGTACAAGTTTAGCTCCTGGTTTTGGAGGTCTAGCCTTGGGCGTGGAGTCTCCTGCTGGTGAATCTGATGCATAAGAAACAGGCTGTTGTGCCTCGGTTGTCTTTGCCTTTGCTAGTTTCTTCACTCTAGGAAGTACAACCGCGTATTTAGCATCAAGTTCTTTGTTACTGTCCGTTAACGTGTCTTCTGTTGCCTTCTCATCCTGGGGATTTGCTGTGTCTTTTTGATCTAATAAACTTTGCTTTTGTTTCCGAGCTAAACTCGTTTTACAAGCAACCCTCATCGTCATCCTGTGGCTGACAACATGGCCTCCAGATCTCCTGCTACTCTGTTTTTGTTTAATAGTTCGAAGCCAGTGGGTTATACCAACTGCTTTAGTCAGAGAAGAAATCCTCTTCCTGAAGTTTGGTTTTTGTGTCATTTTCTTTTGAATCCAGTCATTCATCCTGAAAAAAGGGGACGCTCTTTTTTTCGGGTGTATCAATCGTAATCCTTCGCTTGTGTCAATCTCTGAGGTTCCTCCATCAGGATTAGCTACTGCCTGTCCGAGTGATGGCAGTTTGGTTTTACCAAAAAGCAACCTCTGCGCCCTACCTTTGACAAGTTTTTCATCATCCTGCTGCTCCGGAGTGGCTTTGTTGTCTTTGTTCTTAGCTTCATCGGGTAATACTTGACTTTGTTCTTCAAAACATTTTTTCGTCTTTGGTTTAACGTTCTCTTGTTCTTGATCTGAGTCATTTTCTACAGAAGGGTCTGTCTCGTTGACTGACGGTGTTGGTTCCTCATCACTTGGGACATCTGGGGTACTGATGGAAATGTCCTGCAAAGGTTTGACTTCCTCTTTTAAGAAACGAGTCTTACTTTTTTTGACATTCTTGGTTCTTTTTTCTTTCTTTGCCTTTTGTTTGGTTTCTTTCTCAACTTTCTGTTTAGGTTCTTTTCTCCTTCGGTTTTGAACCCTTTCAACCTCCTTATTTGCCTTTGCTTTTTTAAACATTTTGAATTTTGCCTCAGTAGGAGGTTTAGGTAGAGGATAGCAAAAGTCTAGTTTTAGCTCCACTTAAGTCACATCATTGATTGCCTGACCCTCCTTCCTTGTTTTGTTTTTCGTAATAGTTGAAAAGACCGATCTATTTCTGACTAGGTTAGCTCCCCCTTTGTCTCATTCAGCTACACTTTGAGTGTCCAGTCTCTCAGTCCTCTCTTGATTCTCTTCAGTTGCTGCTCAATCCTCATTATTCGGGTGTTCCTCAATTACTTTCAAGCCAATGTATTGCAATGTGTGCAATGCCTTCAATGGAGGTTTGCAATTGTTTTTAATCCCCCTTTTATATAGACATAATGATCTAAGGTTCAAACTCTTTTTCTCATAGTTCTTAGTTTCTTTTTTCCCATTTAAATTTGTTACTCTCACTCTTTGCCACTCTTCCCAGTTTAAAAGTTGGTGAATACCAGCTTCTTCTTTGGGGGTTTTCTGAAAAGCCCCTGTTCTGCTTCATAGGTCGTCTTCAATCTTGAGACCTCATAATTGGTGGCAAAGCTTTCATTCAGTAGTTAAGCTATCTAGAGAGATGAAAATAAAAATAAACTACAATTAAAACATGAAGTTTCTATTTAAAAAAGAAGACCTTAGAATCTTTGAAAATAAATCAATATTAGAATAACCTTAGAAAAGTTAGTGAAATGCAACAGTTAGAGTTAAACCAAGTCCTTCAGTTTCACTTTTATTGTTGAAAAACATTTGACTACATTTTCTGTTATAACCTCAACTTAGATGCTGTGATACATCTGCCTAAAGAAAAACTCAAAACAAAATGAACATTTTCAAAAAGATGATTAATCTATGCATAAAGTTAAATGTCAGGAAAAGAAAAATAAATAAATCGTATTAATTAATTGCTCTTACATTACAGTAAAAATGTTTTCTGATTGGTTAAATGCTTCTCTGGCCGAGGAACTCGCTTTAGATTAATAGAGCTTACCAAAGTGAAATCCAACAGAAGCTTGGGGACAGCAAAGCACTCCGGCTTTCCTTCAAATCTACTGTCAAAATATCCAATATGCAGCAACTTTTAGTGAAGCTTAGGCGCCTCAATATTTCACTCATAGAGTGAGCAAAAGCCGATGTTTGCATAGGAAAACCTGTGAGCTGCTTTGCACTGAAGCAAACAAAGTGGCTTCTAAATTATTAAACTCCATCAGCCCGGCCCCCCGCTGTTCATATAACCAGCTGCTGAATGCTTGAGGAAAGGCGAGAGGTGCTGTTGTAGAAAACAACAATATGTGATGAAAGAGAAGACACAAAGACAAAGACACTGCCGACAGAATGAGCACCAATTATCCTCAGTACCTGACCTCTTTATAACACATCAACCACCTAACCCTGACCGTATGAATTATTAAACCTTCCGTAAACTTGTGGGGAGTGTTGCCTAAAATTTTTCCTAAAGTTACATTTAAAAGTGTATGGGGTAAGATAACAGATGATACAAACGTTTGCATAGGTTTTTAAATTTGTAAATATTAGTTAGTGTTGTAATCAAGACCTCACCAAGGAGTACCAAGACAAGGCCAAGATGTTAAGAGGTCAAAATCTAGACAAGGCCAAGACCTTTAGAGGTCAAGACCAAGAAATGAAGTGGTCTCGGTTCTCCTTGGTCTTGGTCGGTGTGTTCTTCACCACAACAATAATTTAAGTCAATAAATGTAATCAAATTAAATATTTGCAGTTGTTTCTTGTAGTCTCATACATTCATGACATTACTTATCATCTGAGGGAATACAAGTTTAGAAGTTATTAATACAAGTTAAAAAGTTCAAACTGCAGAAATTCAAGAATGATTTACAATTTATGAGTAAAAACAACAAGTTTACGTGTAAAAATCTACAACCAGATAAAGTAGTTTTAATACTTATCAGTTTGAGGTAGTTACAGTCTTAAAAGCAGCTCACCAACCATCAGTATATAAAACAAGAGAAAGAAGATGGGAAAAAAATTGATCATGTTTAAATCTTAGCTGAAATGGGTTTTTTAAGGTACGTGCAATATAATGTTCAATCAACTGTTCAGTTTTCATCTTTTCCCTTTTAATATACAGATTCATATTTAAAAGGTGTGCAGATGTGACATGTAATTTATAACTTTTATTTATAACATCTAAACTTGTATTGTAACAGATGAAATGTCCGATATTGTATTAGTTGAGAAGGACTGTTTTTTAAATTACTTATGATGACTTACAACATAGCCCCTTTGAAAAAGAAAAATGTTAAAAATAGAAAGCTGGCTCCTTGATTTAATGCAGATCTGCGCATTCTGAAGTAAAATGGCAGAAAACTGGAGAGAAAATGATGCTCTACATGCCTATGGGAATCCTACCTACCCTGGAAAAGTAGTTGCCAAACAAGTGTGCGATCACTTCCACCATAATTATCTTTTTGAAGAGTTTCAGTCTGGCTTTAGAGCTCATCATAGCACTGAAACAGCTCTGGTGAAAGTCACTAA